ACTTTCCACCCCCTACCTCTAAGAATTCTAGCTCAACCAGTACTTTTTAAGTGCCTAACAAGTATCAGGGGACAGTTAGGTGATGCAATGAATAGAGTGCAAGGCCTGGAGTCAGGAAGACTCATCTTCCTGAGTTCAAATCTGGCCTCAGACACTTACTAGCTGTGTGACCATGGGCATGTTACTTAATCCTATATGCCTCATCTGTTTCCTCATCTGTAGGATGAGCTAGAGAAGGAAATGGCAAACCACTCCAGCATCTTTGCCAAGAAAACCCCAAATGGGGTCACAAAGAGTCAACACAACTGAAAATGACTGAACAACAACTATGTGTCAGGCACTGTGGTCCACCACAGGGACACAAATGCAATGAATGAAGCAATCTTTATTCAAATGAAGTCTACATTCTAATGGAGGAGACAACAAGGACAATGTGTGTGGATACAGAGATAGAGATATGTATGCATAGATACACACATATAATTATGTACAGAACAAATACAAAGAGATTAATTACAAAGGAGTAAGTACAAGATAGTACATAAGGCAGGGCACTATCAGGGGAGGGGATCAGGAAAGACTTTATGGAGAAGGGGGTGCTTGAGTTTTGTCTTGAAAGCAGAGAGGGATTCTATGAGGCAGAGGTGAGAGGCATTTCAGGCATGGGGGTCAGCCAATGAAAAGGACAGAGGCAGGAGATGGAGTGGCATACGTGAGTTGATATGACCCTTCTGACTGGAAGGTGGAGGCATGAACTCCAAAACCAGGCCAATCATCTCCAAATTTCCCACTGGACTCTGAACTCTTCTGGATTTCTTGGAACTTTTCCATTATGTCCCCATGCTGGGTCTGCTTCTCTTCACTTTTTTTTCCTGCTCAATTTTCAACTTTTTTTGTGTTCTGTCTTCTCTTCATGGGACTGAAAGCTCCCTGAGGGCAGAGACCATTTGTCTTTTCATATTTGTATCCCCAAATCTTGGCACAGTACCTAGCACAGAGTAGGCATTTTTTGTTTTTATTAATATTCATTATTTATTAATATTATTATTAAATGTTTATTGACTGACTGTGAGAGGCAGAGAAAAGGTCAATTTGGCTAAGTCAGGGAGCTCAGGTGGGGGAGTAATTTCCATTTTATAACCTTTAATATTTACAGAGCACTTTAAACAGTAATACCTAATTGATCGAGCCTTCGAAAAGCATCACTTAGCATTTCCCAGGCCCTGCACTAGGTCCTGGGGATGTATGTATAACAAAAGGGACATGGTCCCTGATCTCCAGAGCCTCACTTACATGGAACCTGGAGACACTTCATGTGAGAATCAGTGAGAACTAGAAAAGGAGAAGGAGTAAGCCTTCCCATGGGAGGTACCATAGGAGCTGGCTACTCCAAATCTCTCCACAAGCTTCCTACACCTCCTGCTTCCCCCATCTTCTCAGCCGAGGACCTCACCTGAAAAATAAAGGACATTCCCCAGAAGCTGCCCCTTCTTCCAATCATATCATCTCCAAACCCCTTCTTATCATTCCTGACCCTCACCTCCTTTTCTCCAGTCTCTGAAAATGATGTGGCTCTTCTGGATATGGCCAAACTACCTCTATTGGTCCTTGATTCAGTCCCATCTTTTTTCTTTACTAGCAGATTGCCACGATTGTTCCCTCTTTTCTTCTAATCATTAATTTCTAACTATTTAATGGTTTGTTTACCTGTAGCCTACAAAGATGACAGTTTGACACCATCTTAAAAAAACAACTTTCACTAGACACTATTAGGCCCCTAAGCTATCATCCTACATCTCTCTTCCCTTCCTCCATCAAACTTCTAAAAAAAGCTGTCCATTTTTATCGCTTCCATCTCCTTTCCCCTCTTTCCTGTCTCAAATCTTTACAATTTGAAAGCTGACTGCATCACTTGATTGAAACTGTGCTCCTTAAAGTTATCAATGATCTCTTAATTGCCAAATCAAATGGCATTTTCACCATCCTCTTTCTCAATATTTCTGCAGCATTTGAAACTGTTGACCATCCTCTCCTCCTAGATGTTGTGTCTCATTCTCTTCCTGCCTATCTGAATGCTTTTCCTCAGCCTCTTTGGTGGGTTCCTCAGACATATCCCTGCCCCCTAAATCTTCCTGTACTCCAAGACTCTGTGCTATGATCTCTTCTCCCACCACACTCTCTCACTTGGTACTCCAATGGATGTTCAATGGATTTAATTATAATCTCTATGCAGATGACTCACAGCTCTACAGAGCCAACCCTAGTGTCTCTCCTGAGCTCTATTCTCAAATATATTATGACTTTTGGACATTTTAAACTGAATGTTTAAATTTGTCAAACTCAACATGTCCAAAACAAAACTCATCATCTTTCCTCTCCTCAAAAATCACTCCTTGTCTAAACTTCTCTATTTCGGTCAGATAGAACAACCCCATCTTTCCAGTCTCCCAGATCCGCAAATATAGTGTTATCCTCATCTCCTCACTCAGGTGCCAACTGTTGGCATTTCTACCTCCATAGCATCTCTCTCGTCCATGCCCTTATCACTCCTCACACAGTCACCATCTTAGCTCAGCCCATCATCACCTTTCCTACTGACTATTGCAATGACCTCCTAATTGGTTTCCCATTTCAAGTTTCTTCCCATTCCAATACATCCTCCACAAGGCTGCCAAAGTAATTTTCCTTAAGCCCAGGTCTGGCCATATCCCTCCCACACTGAATAAACTCCAGTGATTCCCTATTGCCTATAGGAAAAAATACTAACTCCAGATTGCTAAAGAGAATAAAGCATAGTTAAAGGAAACAGAGCTGAAGACTCCGTGGGGAGAAAAGGGAGTTGAGGGGGAGGAGAGCAGATAAGCCTTGTCAGGATCTTAGTGTTCCCCAGAGGTGAGAGGGAATGACAAGGTCAGCTGTACAGTTAGAGCTTCAAAACAGATTTGAGACTCATGCCGAAGAGAGTGAACTGGAGGCTCTGAAGAAGAAGATGCTTGTCCTCCAGAGAACCCTATGGCAATGCAATGGAAGCGACCAGGTGAGAGATCGACCAGGAAGGGTCAGAGGGAAAAGGGAAGAGTGAAAGGTAGTTGATTCCCTGCTCTGGGGCCTGAAACAGTTCTTTGTTAATCTGCTAAGAACAACAGTGAAGGGGCAGCTAGGTAGCGCAGTGGATAGAGCATTGGCACTGAAGTCAGGAGGACCTGAGTTCAAATCCAGCCTCAGACCAAACGCTTGACACTTACTAGCTGTGTGACCCTGGGCAAGTCACTTAACCCCAACTGCCTAAAATCAAAACAAAACAAAAAAAAAAAAACAACAGTGAGGACTGTGGCCTTCCAGGACTTTTATCAAAGATATAACAGGAAAGCTTCCATGACCTATTGAAATGGATGACAACTCTCCCTTTCAGGTGACTCACATAGACACAATTGACTTTACCAGAAGGAACCTCAAATATTTTGCCAGTAATATATTGGAAACCTGGGGAAAGAAACCAACGTGCAGAGGGGTGAAGATTATGTTTTTCTCACTGTTGGCCATTGGAGGCAAGGTATACAGAAGGAAAAAAATAATGCGGGAAATAAATATCTGACTAAGATGATGAGGTCTAAAGATGGGATTGAACTTAGAACCACAGCTTAAACTATAGAGATAACAGGGCCAGTGGTGAAATACAAAGGCTGATAAGAATGTCATATATATATTATATATGTGTGTATGTATGTATATATACCTATACACACATATATATACACATACATATATATTCCACATACAGCAGCTACAATGAAGGGAGAAGAATATCAGTTGAGACACCCAGAAGTTTACAGGAGAACAACTGCAAAAAAGGAGTCTGGTGTAAAACACACATGACCTCAAGTGTTTAAACACAGATGACCAAGTTAAGGCAACAAACAAGAAGAACCAGAGGGGTTAATGGAAAGGGGCAAATTTGACCTCATAGGTCCCAT